GTCTGGGCATGGCCGGACAGTGGACCTGTTTGAAGGGCTTTGGTGACCTTTCTTTTTGGTGAAGGATGGATTCTGGAACCTATGTTGAGCATTTTCTTTAGCTCGGACCCACGGAGTCCACGTTTTCTTGCCCAGGTGAGCGAAGTGCATGAGATGACCATCCTGCAGGACAAGGCTGGATGGGAATTCAGGATGGGTCCCATGCAACATGAGGGTCCAACGGGACAGGTCTCTGAAAATGAAGGGTTGGTGGGCTGTTTGTTGTGTATTGGTATTTCTGTATTTCTCACAAATACTGTATGCTTCTGTTTTTCTGTTGGTGCGCGGAGTGAGGTAAGTCAGTTCGTGTTGAAACACTAGCATTCACTATGGATGACTTGTCATTTGGTGTGAACCAACATTTTCGAACAGAGGCCTAGTTGGTAACATGGAGGGCAGGGCCTGAGACTAGTCGTAGTGAACTTGATGAAGTCGACTTTTGACATCCATTGTCACGGAGCAACGCAACATATATAATGTCACCGTAGTATCACACCACACCAAAGAAGTTCAAAGAAAAGACGAATGGTCGTCGGTTGAGACCACCCAGCAGGTAGCAGTTCCGCGGGGCTTTCCCTGCAAGCTTCCGAGTACATCACAGCATGGTTGGCCGATAAAGGCTCCCCTGCCTTCTCGACGTGCTTGCCGGACTCTCGCCGAAAACCTCATGCTTTTGAAAAGCCCAGGCACCCTGGCTGGTGGAATCCTTGTTGGACCGGAAGGACGTGCGGATTACTGTTTGCCCGTCTACCAACGTTGTTTGATTTGGCAGCGGTGAAACGCACATAGAATTCCCTGCCTCCCTTGCCAGAACATGTGCTCCTGGTTCAAGCATGTCCCTTCAGCTCTGCTTTTTCCGGTGAGGACCGAGGTTTATCGCTCAGCGACACGGTGGCCATGATTGCTACCTTGGAGCGCCTGATCTTCGATGAGGCGCACGTGCTTTTGCAGGCGAGCGGGTTCTGGCGGGTTCTGGGCGTCTTTCGGTTTCGGTTTCTTCGGTTTCTCGATGGTTCGGTGCTTGCCACCTTGGACTGTCTGAAAAAAGGACTCCCAGAATCGGTTCATCCAGTTCATCCCCCTGGGCCCGCAAGGGCACCCTTCGGGCCTGCACTCACGTCGTCATTTGCCAACCCTGCTGACCCTGCTGACCAGGCCTCATACAGCCTCAACTCCTTGAAGATCGAAGATGAGATTGATGAGCAGAGCTTACACGAAGTTCTGATGTCCTACTTGGTGCTCTTTGAGATTGGAGAGAGGGCAGTGCTTGACAACCGGGCGCTGCATCGTGCACTGAAGGCTAAAGCCGCTCGTTCGGACGGCAACTGGCCTTTGCTGGTAGAGTTTGAACAGGATGCGGTTCACAACTTCAACTTTGCCCTGAGGCACGTGAGAAACCCTTTTCGAGACTCTCACTTGTACTCATTCCAGGATGCACAAGCCATCATTGAGGACCTCACCCGTGGCTATGGGAAATGGCAAAACACGGAGTGTCAACAGATGAAGCGAGAGCTCATGGATTTGGACCCTCATGGCATGGGCCGGGCTCCCTTAGGCAGGTTCTATTCGCAGCCAGAGAATGCAGAATATCATTTCACCGAGACACAAGACTATTTGAAGAAAGTGGGAGCCTTGGAAGAAACCATGGGAGATACCTATGTTCGCATTGCAAACTACATGACTGGGCCTTCCAATTGTATTGCTTCCTCATCATACTACTCCGTTTGTTGCTTGAACGAGTGTGAAGTGCTTATGAATGAGTTGGAGAGCAAGATTCTGGCACCATCCGCGTCTCCCGAACGCATCTTGCCTTTGGCCAGCAACTTGTCTTCGGCCACCGTGGATGCACCCAGGCGGCTGCCAGCAGTGATGCACGAGAAGCTACATGCAATTGCGGAGCGACATGGTGGAGAAGTGGCCTTGCATGGCCGTCTCTTTGCCCAATGGATGCACTATGCCTTCCCCAATGAGTGCCCTTTCCCGCACATCATCGAGGACAGGGGTGCCCCCTTTTGCAGACAGTGTTCAAACATGTTCTAATCGTTTTCTTTTAGGATACAGTCGTTGTTGCTTTGATGTGAGACTGCAGTGGTTTTCACTCTGGTGAACCAAAACCAACGTCCGGCCGTGGGTCAAGTCACCCATGGTTGATCGTCATGCTCCAACATGCTCAAACACTCGGGTCGCGCAAGCACGAGTAGGGGAAATGGTTGGACCCGGAAGCCAAGTGTCCAGCACCGGGGCACCGGGGCTAAGACACGGCAGGACGTGGCTGTGCTGGCCCCAGGCCATTGGATCGACCGGAAGATTGCGGTCTCCAAGGCGGAGCGGGAGGAGCTGGCGGTGCTGGCATCCCAAGAGGTGGTGGAAGGCAGGGCGATTTTCTGCAGCAATGGCTAGTAGGTTGGAGACCATGGCTACTAGGGTGGAGGCCATTGCCAAGCGAGTGCATGCGACTTCAAATTTTTAGTGTCTTTTTGACAACCCGTTGGCTGCGGGCTTTTGGTGATGTTGTTAGCCGCCGCTTGTTTCCTGTTCGCTGCGTGTAGACCAACTTGCTTGCGAAATCCTCCTTCAGTTCTATGTTAGTACTCGGGGTGTTGATAAAGGTGTTTCTTCAGACGTCCTGCAGGGCCAGCAGAAACCTTGGCATGGTCAGAAGAGGAGGTGCTGGCAACTGCTCCTTCGTCTCCTGGCTCATCCGGCTCATCGGGCTCCAATAGCACCTTGGCGTTAGCAAAGGGAAGGACATGGGCGACACTTTTACTGGGGTGATTCATATTACTCCCGCCAGAAGTGGTGTTTCTCCTGTGTCACAAGCTGAGCTTGGTAGCTCGAGTAATGGCCCAAGTGAAGCTTCCCATCGAACTGAGCTTGCTCAGTAGAAACAGCATCCAGCATCCAGGGGTTGACTTCTGTGAGATTGGTAAGCAAGAAAGCAAGCGCCTCTCTAGCAATCTGGACTTGGGTCAAATAGGGTCAAAACCCACACCAAGGCAGAGCAACTTTTAGACTTTCCTTTGGTTCTGTTTTGAGTCATTGAGGTCTCCGCTTCATCATGCAAGTGGCCTTGCTGTTGGGTTTGGGTCGAACAGTGCTTGGCAGCTGAGTGGCAGACAGGGACGTGGCTGGTTTTTGGTTTTCTTGACGCAGTTCTTGGCTCCGCAGGTGTCCGCAGGTTTGTTCTTGGTGTTTGCATTCTTCCAGGGCATGAGCTCTTTTCGCGAAGCGTTCGTCTCAGGGTTGTGTGAGTGACTCAGGTAGCTGGCGACTCACCGACATCTCCCCAGGCCGTTTGAGACATCCACCTTTCTTGGACGCCGAGTTGGTTGGGGTCCTGTAAAATTCGTGTAACTTGGATCGACGTTTTCGTGAGCAAGTGGAATTTGTGTAGTGCTGCTTCTTTGCGTCGCAGGCAAGCTTGGAAAGACTGACCTGCCTTTCTGAGTGGCATTTACAGCGATTGGCAGCTGGAAAAAGGAGGATGTTGTGGAGCAGACAGCTTCAATTGGACCCTGTGGGAGATCCTTCCTTTGAGATGCATGAGATGCATGGAACACGGGCGTGTCAAAATGATCAAAAGACAGAGTTGTTTGCGGGCCTCCCGATTTTTGATCCACACACTTGTTTGTTTGCAAGTGACACGGAGATGTGGCAGTCACAAACTGGGTATTTGGCAGCCACGGCCTTACCGAGCGAGTCAGTGCATCCTTGCACTATCTCCTCCTAGCCTGAACCTCAGACAGGCAAATCAGTTGGCATTCTGTTGATACGCATCCATGAAAATCTGCCTTTTTGTCCACCCCATGATTCCATGATTCAACGAAGGTTGCAACATGAACTTTCTGAATCTATTGGGTCCTAGTCTAGCAACTGTCCCAAGCATTATCAACCTTCAATTGACCTGTAACCTTGACTGCAATGGTGTGGATGGCTCAAAGCCTGGATGAATTTTTGGGTAGGTGAGCTCCTGAGGCTACTTGCTTCGGGATCGGCATCCGGCTGGTGGGGTCTGGCGTGTCCGGCGCACTGCAGTGCATCGTTCCTGCTTGTGGCCTCCGTCTTCCTCACTGGCTTTTGCACCGGTGCCTTGGCTTCCGCGTGTCTCTTCCTCTGGTTGACTCACCGGCCTTGGCTTTGGGCTGCCTCTCCTCCTTCGCGGAGCACCTCATCCACTCCTACCTCCCGCCTTGCGGCGTACTTATATGAACGGGACCGCCCTCTCCATCTTGATTGAGGCTACTCGTGCTGTTTCCCGTTCCCTGAGGGGACTTGCTGACACCTTGGACTTGGCTATTGCCCGGGCTGAAGGGTCTCGCCCTCCTCCTGCTCCTACTCCTGCCTTGTCCTCTGATACGGTTGACACCGTGGACTGGGACCTCATCACTCAGCTGGACTCCATCACAGCCCCTTCGGCTGGACCTCGACCATCTGCTGCCCCAGGCCTTTCTGGCCCTGAATACTCTGGCTACCACGAAGTCGCTCGTGCTCTGCTCCCTTCTTGAGCATTGCTTGGACTTGTGTCGTCGCCTGGCAGGTACTCCGACTGAGGTTCGTGCTCGAGCTCAACGTGCTTGGGACGCCGGCCAGTGGGCAAAGGCCACTCTTGAAAACAAGGTTGCCAAGCCGAGGCCTACCCCGAAGTTGGCACTGCAAGCTACGTGCTACATCATTCTCCGAGGACCAGGCATTGAGAGGCCTGTTCGAGTGGCATCATCAGCGGAGTACTTCAAGCTCCTCCCCACGTTTGAGGGATCGGTGTCGCACTCGTTCCCTTCCTTGGCAGAAGGCCGTGTGTATTGCTTGGCTGCAGGCGTCGCTTTCCCCGACCCTGCTGATCAGTGAGGATGCCTGCCGATGTCAAATACCTGGACCAGGGAGTGTTTATGGTACAAGTCCTGGGCCTCGATTTTGCGATATTTGGTTTGGAAGGTGTCAGAGAATGTTTTGCAGTTCCAATCATGTCAAGGGCAGCTGGGACCCTCTTTGCTATACCAGTTGGCTTCTTCCCGGAGGAGGTCCTGTCTGGAGGCTCGGAGGCAGCGTCGGGGGACTTTGTAGGCCCTTCGACTGCGGTCACTGTTCCTCTGGTGTTCGAAGAGGAGGACGGTACGGAGTCTCAGACTGGGTTGGAGGCGGAAGTTTTGTTGGTCGATCTTCACAAGATGGTGATGGACTTTGTCAGGGGTTTCGACCCAGTCACAGAGGGGCCTGGGATCCAAGCCTTCTCTATAGACAACCCCGACCTGGTTCCCGACGGAAACTCCCTCATGAAGGAGGTCTACTCGTGGTTGGAGTCGGCTACAGAGGGAAGAGCCCAATACTACTCTGCAGAGGAGCCCCCGCCGCAAGCTGTGATTCCCAAACAATCTCGGCAGAAGAACAGGGCTCCATTTGGTGGGGGTTCCCCGCCGAAGAGAGTGACTACGGCGACGTTGGCCGAGCAACTAGCAGAGCTTTCCAAGAGTATCCATGCTACATCGTCCCAATTGGAGACTATGGCACAGCGGCAAGACCGGATGGAGAACCTGCTCGCATCCCCTGCAGCTCCTGCCCAGCTCCCGGTTCCAGCGCACCAGCGCCCTTTCCAGACGGCGGCCCCAGGAAACCCCTCTCCCTTGCAGTTCATGACAGGGGTCGGCACTCCCCCCAGAGTCCGGACTTTCCAGGAGAAGGCCACAAGGACTCCCCTCCCCCCAGAGGCTCCGGAGATACCCGAGGACGAGCCAATCGCCCTTCCATCAGATCCCGACTTGTGGCTGCGACTGCTCCTACTGGCAATCAACCTATGGATGTGACTTCGGCCATCTTTCAGCAGTCCCAGGCCCTTTCGACCCTGGTGGCACACTTGGTAAACCAGGATGGTTTGGCAGATTTCCCTGGGACTGGCAGTTCATCAGCCATCTCCCTGAAGGGGTCGGCCAAGAGAGACAAGTTGATGATGGACCTGGCTATGAGGAAAGGCGATTTCTTCCTGAAAGTGTCTCAGAACGCCTTCCGTCGCCTGAAGCCTACGGAGAAGATGCCAAGGACTCTGGAGGAATTTGCTGGCAGACCGATCTTTGCAAAGTATGCGGAGAGGAGTGGCGGCTTCTCTGGCCAGAGAGATTTTGGGCTGATGATGTGGCTTCTATGTCAAATAGGAGATGCTATGCTGAATGGGGACAACAAGGGAGCCCAGGAGTTGCTTGCTCTGACCATGGTGACGATCGAGCAGGCGGCCCAAGACAATGGCAAGTGGGAGGTTGCGTGGATCCTTTCGCTCCAGGAGGATCCTCCGCCTGGCCTCTTCATGGCAAGGCCAGCCTCGACGAACCCGAGGCTCAGGGCATTCTCTCCACTATGCCCGCCAGAATGGGCGGCAACTGCGTTGTCCTTTGTCAAGGAGGTGGATATCATCAGCACTCGGCGCCAGGAGGCTCTTCCATCGAAGAAGACTCAGAAGCAAGGGGAGGAGACCGACAATCCCAAGAAGAAGCCGCAGAGGTATCCAAAGAAGCCAAAACAAGGGGGGGAGCAGACCTCGAACTAGATGAAGGGCTCGAACATGGGTCCATCTCTTCTTCAAGCACTCCCCTCTGGGCTGAGGATTCCTACGACATGCGCCACGATGCCTACCATAATATCCCCTGTTCCGGAAGCGAAGACTTCTGCCGGGATGATGGCACTCTTGCAGATGACGCAGGGCCCTTTGATGAACCTGCGTCGGAGCCTTCCCCCACCTCCAGGCAGTGGGTCAGGCTACAGACCTTTTCTTTTCCTAGATGGGCATCTTCTCTATGCTCAGAAGTTTTGAGGTCGAAGACATCCTTCGGGATTTTTCTCCGTACTACTCTCACGGTTCAAAGATTGCTTCCAAGTACATCTTCAAGTGCACTTTTTCCTCTACCAGTTCCAAAGCTTGGCATCTTCCTTCCGAGGAGGTGTGGCTCCAGGCAGAGAAGGAGACTTATGGTTGATCGAGCCTTCCATGTCTGCATCATGGCCTTGAACTTTTGGCACGCTGACTTCAAGCACATTCCTGTGGAGTCAATTGCCAAGGAGCCTTCACCAGCCCAAGCACAGGCACTGGTCAATTTGAAGAGGATGCTAAGGGCATTCGGTAGCTCCTCGGAAGAGTTTTCTGTTCCAAAGAGCGGCCGTAGATTGACATCTTTGATTGCGCTCCTCTCTGACCTTTCTGAGTTTGCTACATGGAGAGGCATTGGAGGCAGCGCCTACTCTCGATCCTTCCCAGGAGCATCAGACATCAACAAGAAGGAGACCTACGTGCCTAGGAATCTTTCGCGGGCGGAGGAGCTTCGTCCATACCGTGCTCTTGACCCCGATAGGCTGGTGCTGTCAGGGAAGGCCTCATGGGACCCAGACAGGTTCCTTTCGGACATGCTTTGGATGGCTTTTCAAGAGCCAAATTCACTTCTTTGGACGGCGTCGGAGAGATCTTCGCTGGTGCCGGACTTAGCCAAAGAATCATATGAATCGGTGAAGGACCTTGCACTACTTTGGGACATCAATGGTCTGCTACATCTGGAGGAGGCCAGGGAGGAGGATGACCCTACACTTGCAATGAGGTTCTTCAACTGCTACAAGAATGAGACGACTGACCGCATGATTGGAGACCGGAGGTCAAGAAACTATGTGGAAGGTCGCCTAGCCGGGGTTTCATCCGGTTTACCGTCAGCTCAATGCCTCTTTGACCTTGAAGTTGAGCTCCCAGTACAACGCATTTCAATATGCGCCTCGGACAGAAAAGACTTCTACCACCAGCATGGAGTTCCTGCTTCTCGGGCGAAGACAAATCGACTCTATCCTCCACTTCGCATCTCCGACCTCAAGGGCACCAAAGCTTTCCAGGCATGGGCCCTTAAGCGACTTGGAGGGAACCGCTATGATCGGGCTCTGGAAGGGGATTTCCTAGCCTTTGGAGGAAAGAAGCTCAAGAAGGCAGTTGAGGGAGGACTGGTCAACGCTTGTTTTGCGAGCATTCCTCAAGGGGATCACCTTGGGGTAGAATTTGCAACAGAAAGCCACACAAACTTCCTATATCATCGAGGTCTCCTGACTGCTGAATCAGAGCTCAGAGCGGACTGCCCCTTCTATGGCTCGAACCTTGCCACGGGCCTTGTCATTGATGACTACTATGCGGTCTCGGTTGAGGAGAGCAGCTGCCCTAAGTGGGATCCTAGCCAAGCATGGACTGGAGGGTCACAGGCGGCACAATTGCTTCAGAAGGCGACCGCTGCGTACGAGAAGGCTGGACTTCTGGGATCTCCTGCCAAGGACATTCTTGATGAACAAAAAAAAGGCCTGCATCATGGGCGCTGAGATTGATGGTAGCCAGGTTGCTCGAGAGAATGGGGTGGTCACTGTCGGTGCTCCTGTTCACAAGCGTCTTGCTCTTGCCTATGTTTCTCTTACCTTGGCGAAGATGAGGTACACTACTGATGCTCTCCACGCTTGTTTGGTGGGTGGATGGGTGAACGCCGTGCTATACAGGAGACCGGCAATGTCACTTCTTCAGGAGGTCTACAAGATCCCACTGTCGGAAGTGTCTCAGGACTCGCCGAAGGTGACCCGGTTGTCAAGAGGAATGGCGCAGGAGCTCATCATGTTGTCCGTGCTCTGCCCTTTCTTCGCTACTGACATTTCCACACATATTCAGGAGCGGTGCTATGCCACTGACTCGTCAGACGCGAAGGGAGCTGTGGTCTCATGTGAGGTGCCTTTGAATGTTGCTAGGGCCATGGTGCGTACTGGCAGGAAGAAGACGACCTACACGAGGATGCTGGCAAGGCATGAAGCTGTTCTCAAAAAGATTGATGCTGATTTTGAGGAGACCTACGTATCGAGTGAGGAGTTCGCAGAGGACTCCTTCATTGCTCCCGACCGACCAAGGGCCTTTCGCTTTCACTTCATTGAGGTTTGTGGAGGTTCTGGAAAGGTCACGAAATACGTTGACGAACTTGGCTGGGTAGTTGGACCTGTGCTGGACCTTGATCGATCTCCAGCTTACGATTTTTCAGCTCTGCGCTTGCTTCAATGGATTTACTTCATGTTGGAGGATGGCAGGCTGGATTCATTTATGGCGGAACCTCCTTGCACTACGTTCAGTCCGGCACAACACCCGGCGCCCAGATCGTATCAAAAGCCCAGAGGCTATCATCCTACCGATCCGAAGACCTTGCGCGGCACTACTCTTGCTTTGAGGTCGTTAGCTCTTCTACAGCTCGCCGCCGACTTGAACACCCCTGGGCTGCTTGAGCAACCTAGAAGGTCAAAGATGAGGAGGCTGTCAGAATGGCAAACGCTGTTGCTGCTTGGCCGTGCAGAGGAGACATGGACCGCTAGCTGCATGTGGGGATCCCCCCACCAGAAGGAGTTCATCTTCCTGACAGTCCATATGGAGACAAGGGCTTTGCACAGAAAGTGTGATCAGTCTCATTCACACATCCGGATTGAAGGCAAGTGGATCAAGCCTTCAGCCACTTATACTGATCCACTGGCCTATGGCATTGCTACTTGCTTTGACAAAGCCCTCCGCGCAAAGCTCAGGCGTCTTCAGCTTCAGGAGCCCAAGACTCTTGGCCTGGAAGGTCTCTTGTGCAATGAAGTCATACTATCCCGCAAATGGCAGGTCGACAAAGTCTGGAGGTGGAAGAAGCCCTTGCACATAAACATCCAGGAGGCCTTGGCGGCAGAGAGGCTTTTCATTCAGGAGGCGAGAATGCACCCCCGGAGTCGCTTTGTCATTGTCATGGACTCGAATGTTGCACTCTCGTCGCTGGTTAAAGGGAGGTCTCCTTCGCATGGCCTTCGGAAAGCTTTGAGGAGGGCTGGATCCACGTTGGTGGCAGGGTGTCTATACCCATCATTTCATTTTGGCCCTACCAGGATTCTTCCTGCTGACCATCCTACAAGGGATCATGAGATGCCAGAGCCTGTCAGAACGTTCATCGATGAAGAGACCGGCTTGCAGGAGTTGCTGGCGCTGTCAAAGACGAATGGACTTCGAAGGTTTGCTGCCAACTGGCTTCGATTGGTCTTGCTTCTGATCGGAGGAATCCCTCCCTGGTTTGGCTCATCAGAAAGCTGGCGCTATGGGCATGTTGCTTACAAACACTTTCCCTTTGGAAGCACTCGGCCTATCCATCCCCAGATCATGGACTTCGACAGCTCAATGGGCTATCCTGGCGAAGGACCTCCGGTCATTCCCCAATGCCTGGCAGTTGGGCTCGTGCCTCCATCTCGTCGGTACTCCTGGATTTTAGCTCAGGCTTGGACCTTGTGGACTTTCAGCCTCTTGCGACTCGGCTCGGTCTGCGTCAATGGATTTCTTGGATTTTGGTTCGCTGGGCTCCTCTGTCTCGCATGTGGACTTTTCTGCTTGGACTTCCCTGGCGGTGCGATCAAGAGAAGGCCGGTCCTTGCCGGTCGGCCCGCTCTTCCTCGTACATCTTCTCTGTGCATCAGGCAAGAGCAGCTGGAAGGGGAGACCTCGAGCTTCCCCAGGGGAGACCTGTCCTCCCTGAGACACAGAAGCAACGAGACAAGCTCCTTGGCTATTTTTCAGACTGGCTTAGGGGCCATGGATTTGAGCTGGAAGAAATTTTGATGACAGCCACACCTGACCTCGAGACCTTGAACACGTTGGTTGAAAGATACGGGCGTGAGCTCTACAGGTCAGGACGTCCATATGGACATTATTCCGAGACGCTCAATGCGATCTCGGGAAAGAGACCACGGGTGAGAAGACACCTTCAGCCCGCGTGGGACCTTGCCTACGCATGGCTGCGCCAGGAACCGCCGGTTCACCATCTGGCGCTTCCCTGGCAGGCGCTGCTGGCGCTCATTACCACGTCATGGACGTGGGGCTGGAGCAAAGTGACAGGCGTCATCGCCCTTTCGTGGGGCGGTATCACCCGCATCGGAGAGGTGCTATCAGCGTGCAGGCGGGATCTAATCCTCCCAGCTGATGTTGAATGGTCCATCAACTATGCCCTCCTGCAGATCGCTGAACCCAAGACGCGATATAGAAGTGCAAGACATCAAATTGCACGGCTCGATCAGCCGCAGCTTCTGAAGGTCATCGAAGTGGCGTTTGGTGGCCTGTTACCTGAGCAGCGGTTGTGGCCCGCCTCGGGCCAAACAATGAGGCATCGGTTCCAAAAGCTCCTTCAAGCAAACAGGCTGGATACTTTACCAGAGGGCATCAGTCGAGGCATCGACCTCGGATCGCTTCGCGCAGGAGGGGCTTCTTGGCTGTTGATGAGTTCGGAAAATTCCGAGCTCACTAGAAGAAGGGGCAGATGGATCACCTCCAAGGTCATGGAGGTGTATGTTGAGGAGGCATGGTCCGTGCAGTTTCTGCCCCGCCTACCGTCAGAAGTCAAGAAATTGATTTGGAATGGTGCCCAGATTTTTCCTTGGGCTCTGGATCTTGTTGTGGCTTGGCACGGCGCCAAGATCCCGGAGTCAGCATGGCCTTGTTTGTTCCTCCAGGCCTCGAAAGACTTTGAGTTGAACCACCTGGGTGAGAAGAAGTTGGGTGGTGAAGCCGCTGCCGCGGCTGTGTGTGCAGCTCCAAAAGAACCGTGAGAGAAACACCTGCTTGAAAGGTTGACCTGTAACCTTGACTGCAATGGTGTGGATGGCTCAAAGCCTCCCACCTCACCCGCCCTCGAGGCCGGAGGAACCTCTCCAAGCCGCTGCCGCGGCTGTGTGTGTGTGTGTTCCAAAAGAACCGTGAGAGAAACACCTGCTTGAAAGGTTATATAATTGGTTGTACATCCAAATCTATGTCCAACTCCATGCCCAAACCTATGGCTTGCTGAAAGACTCCAAGGTTCATTTTCCGTGTGTTCACTGCAATGTTCCGACTTGGCCATATCATGGCAGGCATGTGAAACTGCATATGACTCACCTGTCTCTGCCACACACTGAGGTCAGCCATGTTGTCTCGGGTTTTGATGCGAGGAACCCGCCGTTGCGATCTGAGAGATCTGGCTTTGTGCAAGGAGGATGATGTGGTCTTGAAATCCATACCCCCCGCTTGAACACTGTCGGTTTTCGGCTTTCACCGAACTGGTACTTGGTCCGATTGCCATGGTGGAACTTCCGACCCAAACGCGTTCACACCTGCACGGAACCAGCCCAAGCAACGGCCCAGGCGCGGGCATTGTCGGCCTTGGCGAGAACAGGGCAGTGATGTGGGCATCCCAGCGTAAAGGTCTGGTTTCCGTGAACTTGGCGTTCTTTAAGGCCGCGCCAATGGATGGCTGCCGTGGCTGAGAACTGAGAATTGCTTCCTTTGGCGGACTTCCCCCCTCCGTCTCCCTCTCCCTCTCCCGCTCTCCCGCTCTCTCTTGCTCTCTCGCTCTCTCTGTGGGACATGCCAAAATGTTTCTTTTTGGTGAACTGGATTCGGGATCCACACCCATGTGATGGACAGAGTCAGGATCTGGATCGGCAAAGCTGTTCTTGGTGAACTAGCACATCTTCCGTCCGCAGGTAGTCCACCCCCGAACACATCGAGGGAGCCACGACCGGACGAAGCGCGCCAGCCTGCTCGATGCCGCAGTTGAGGCACGAAGCTTTGGATCCGGTGGTGACCCGCGAGGCCACCTGAACCCGGATGGAACGAGGCGCGGTCCCCCACCGTGGTCCCCGAGCCGAAGACAGAGCCCAAGCTGTGCTGGAAGGGCAGATGCGAATGGGAAGCGGGGGTGCCACACGTGCGAGGCCAGAGCCCGAAGATGCTGAGGACTCCAGATGCAAGCAGAGAAGAAGACGATATCCGATATCCAAGACATAAACCAGGGTATCCAAACTAGCAAAGTAAAACAAAGTTTAGCTGCTATGAGTCAAGTAAACATCTCAGCTACTTCAATTTCCAACGTCTCACTGGTGCGGCACCCGGTTCAGTGCCGCCTGGGTGTGCTACGGTTCTCACCGGGCACCCAAGTCCGGACCTTCGTGCCCGAAGTGACCAGGATTACCATGACCCCGATCCCATGGACCATTCTCCTCGGATGAAGTTGGTCAAGGAGCCGCATGGAGAACGAGAAGATCTTGTATTTGTAGCGAATTTGAATGCTTCGATGATGCTTCGATATGGTGTTTTCATGAGCTTTCCATGTCTGGACGATTCATGCTGTGCTCGACCTGGAAAAGATATACTTGAAGCATACTCATCGCGAGAATTTGCGGGGGCAATGCATGGCGATGGTGCTTGGTTGACCTCTTGCTTGGTGCTCTAACATTGCAGGAGCGGGGTCAGACCTTTGTTGCGGGCCTAGACGTTGGAGCCGTGGGTTTGTTTAAGCTTGAACCAGGAGGGACATTTTTTTGGTTTTTGTAAGGATGGCTGACCATTCTTGTTCTTTCGGCCTCCTTGGTGTTAGGTCGTCTCACAAGATCCGCCCAAGAACATCGCAGAGCTCTACCAAACCCATGAGGCCGGCCATGTTGGTATGGTTAGTTTTTGCGGGCAAACATGACAAGTGTCATGAAGAAACTTGTTTGATCAGGGAACCAAATGCGGAGACAAAAGTGAGAAGAGAAAGAGGCTTGAGCGCCGATCTTCCTTCAGGAGCATGTCCCTTTCTATCCTCGTGGCCGCTTGATCTTGAAGGGAAACTACAAGTTGACCATGAAGGCGGTGGAGCATTGGAGCACGTTACTCACACTTGTACTGTTTCGGCTGGCAGGATGATGCGTGTGTGTTTTATGGCACCATGACGCCAGGCTGAGTATCTATTCTTCTACATTCCGACAACCATTATCCTGGGCCTGTGCATTCCCGCCGGGACCTGTGAACAACATAAGATGCAGTCTTTTCAAGAATTGGGCAAGACATGGAGTATCAGGAAGCGCCTCTACAGGCAACGAACCTGAAACCAGAGGAACCCAGAGCAACCTGCACAAGAGGCAGGGTCTTCTCAGATGAAGACCCACTGCTTGGCCACGGCGTAGCTGGTTGGAGAACCGTGTTTTTTAGTGTGGGTCAGTCGATTCAGTACCGGACTGTCATGCTCCAGTTCTTCGTCAATTTTTCCTTGGGTCAGCGCCGCTCCGCCACTTGGTCGATGACGCGCTGCTTTGCGTCCTTCACAAGGCCTTCACAACCATCTACGCTTTGGAGGAGGCTGTGGCTTCGACGATGACGATCAAGGTGCGTGCGGGTTGGGCCCAAGAGAGTCGACCTTCGGGAGGTCCTCAAATGAAATTTCCATGATCTACTACCATGATTCATGAATAGATGTCAATAAATTGAACGGGGATTCCTACTTGGAGGTCGTGTCAAGACGTCATGCAGCTCTCTTGAGGTCAGTCCTTTTTTGCTCTTGACGTTTCTTTTCCGTATAACGAATGGACAGGGGTCCTCCCGCACCGCAAAGAATGTTCGTCAATGTCCTTCACACCCGGGCCCATTCCCTCGCCACACGATATGTGCTTTTAGCCTTGAAGCTTTTGATGTGCAGGTGACCGGAAGACAATGGTATTGGGTCTATGAAGTTGAGTCCCCCACCGACGATGGCCACTTGAATGACGCAATCGTTGTGCGGCATCGTCGTTGGTGGCTTGCAGATGGAGAAGTCCCATCGCCGGCATGGATTATAGTCGAATGTTCCACCAGGGTTCCAGACTTGCTGTTGTTTTGGGAGAAACTATAGATTGCAGTGGGGAATTGACCGTTTGACACTACACATCTCGAGGAACACGATTCCTCAAACGTGAATATCAATGAACCCAAGATGATTGAATTTTGCTGAGACTTAGGTGATGACGACGATGAATGAGGGCATCTTTGAGGATCTTCCCAATACCTCGTTCCAGAATAGCAATGATGAATTGGACTATCAAGCGAAACAAGGATTGTTATGTCACGAGTCACGAGGTATTTTTGAAATCAAGACGCAATTGATCATTGAAAAATGGATGCCCAAAACAGAATTATAACAAAAATAATACATTTTTATATTTATACATAGGAATATTAGGATTAATTTTTCTATTCTTCTTATATAATAGAATCTAATTATATAATAAATTAATTTGAGTAAAAAAAAAAATATAATTTATTAATGAATTTGGTATAATACGATTATATATTACTTAATAATAAAATAGAATATAAATTAATATCTTAATAATTGTATTTATTCGTAGTTTATTTAAGGTTGTATGTTTGGGTCCGTAGCTTTAGATGCCGCGGGCGGGAACTTTGGTACGTTGGTATTAGGTTTGCTTCGAGAGCTGGTTTTTCTTGAAGATTGGACTTTTAATTTCGTTGGGTGCGATTACCTTTTTTATTCACTGGAACCTTTTGAGGGCTGGAGCTTTGTTATTTTAGCTTATTTGTGGACTTTTGGTAGGCTCGGTGGTTGATTTGATTGTTGTGGTTCGGTTGCGCTGGCGACAGTGGGTGGCTTTCGCCCTGTCGGCCTTTATATAGAGTAGTGTATGATTGAGGGACTCTAGATTTCCTTGGATAGTGTTAGCACCGAGCTTAGAGAACTTCGTGCTTTGGTCTCGGATCTTTCGAGCCGCTTTCGAGCCTTAGAGTTGAGATTAGAAGGTTATAGTGACATATCCAGTGTGCCTGGCAATTTGGCCGATTTGAGCGTCTCGGCCGGATCTTTAGTTCGACCATCGGCCGTATCTCGCTTGTTTTCTGGGAATTAGCCTTCGGTTCCGCTGGAGGGAGCCCCTTCGGTCTCACCGGAGGAAGAGAGTGAGCGGGGGGTTCAATCGTGGGAGGAAAGAAAGAGGATCTGCAAAGACATTGGTTTTTTCCTTCGTCGCTCCTTGGGCACTGATTTTCGAGGGTCATATTATTTGCAGGGACTTCAGTGGGGTCATCTACGATCCACCGCTGGTAGTGAACAGGTTTGGGACTGTCAAGTTCCTTTGCCTGCCTCACGGTGAAACTGGAAGTTCAGGCTTTGTAGGACTGCCATCGAAGTGAGAGGTCGTGGCCACCTTGCGAGCCGATAATTTCGTGATCCTCGATGTCATCCCCACTAGCGCCAGCTCCGGCGCCTGAGGGGGAAGTTTCGGAAGATCTGGAAGAGATTGCAGAGCGAACCCAAGAGGCTCATTTTGTCCACCTTGGTGGGCGCACGAATAGGAATTACGAGGTTGGGCGCATTTGTTTGCCCGACGGATTCAATTTTTCTTCAATTATCATTGTTGGAATTCACGGCGGCCAGTTTTTGGTTACCATTCCCCTTGAGAGTTGGAGCCGAAAAGTTTCAGAGAGGGCCTTACATCCGAAATCCTTGAGCAAGCCAATTCAATGTTCAGTTCTTGCATGCCACCCTGGGAGTCGAGACGAACCCTCCGGGGAACAGCGTGTTTGGGTTGGTCTTCTGAACAAAGATTTGGAAGATCATATAGAGTTCGATTTTCCTTCAGAAGCACAGCCGGAATATCCTTTCCTTTCCGAGGAGGAGGAAATCTCCCTCCCCTTCGCCGACAGTCAAGTAGAGCTCTCTGGAGAGCGGTTTCAGTTCTACACTGCAGAAAGTGGCGAATGGTCGGAGGAAGCTTCGTCCGATCAGCGATGGAGCAAGCTCGAATCTGGTCTAGCCGAA